ATCTGAGTTTATCGAGTACTTTCACATACATTTCTCCTGTGGATCCTAGCCAAAGCCTGAAATGGCAAGGGATGAACAGGAATTCAATATTAGCCTCTGACTCTAGAGCCTGCACTTTTCCTTGGTCTTAGTTATTAAAATCTGACCTGGTATCTTTTATAGCTTATTGTACTTATTTGTGGACAGTTATACTAATATCTTTATATTCCTAACACTTGGAGCAGTGATAGGCAAGTAAAACTATCTCACATATGTGACACTAACATTAGTTTGGAAACTAGTCAATGCATGCTGAATTTTTCATAGTTTCTCTTACAACCTAGCAGCCTAGAATACATGCCCCGCAGCATTTTTCAGTCAATATACCCCAGCACAACAGCAACTTTACAGATTAACAGGCATTTCAATGAGAACAATACCCGTCTCCTGACAAAAGGAGCTATAACAATAACCTCAAGTTTTTCGGAAGTAGGTGACACCTGTGGAGAACATTTTCAGTTTAGCTGCAAGACACACTTTAAAGCCACTAATTAAAATACACTTGCAACATTTCAAGAAGTTAATCATACAGAAGGGCATTCAATTTGCAATTCAATATTTTTCCTAACTTATTTTGTCAGTGCAAAAGCTATTTTCTTTTAAGACTTCAATACGAAAGCCTCAGGCCAGAGATGAGCAGTGACTATATAGAGCAGAGCAGCTTCTAATGCATCAGCAAGGAGCATAGGGATAGCACAAGAGAATTCCAAGAAGTCAGGAGAAAAATGGTTTCCTAACATGCAACTCCATGGCATCTCCTTTCCTGGAATGCACTGTCACAAATACGCCCGACTACGCTGTACGAAAACACTCACACTTTGCCTGCTTTCTCTCTCCTAGCATCTTCCACACTTACAAAATACAGGGGGGAAAAGGTATTTTGTCAAATTTCATAGCTACAGCATTGTACAATGAGGCACCAGTATCCCTTTCATCTGGGTTGACCAATTATATTTTGTCACATCTGTGTATTATCTCCTCTATATACAGACTTTCCTAAAGATTATGTTTTGATTGAACCCCTGGAAAATAAGCTTAAGACATTATACTTGCTTTAGGCAGATTTGAGAGGAGAAATTCCTCAACCTCTTTCCAAGATCTGCCCTTATACGTCTTACATATAAAACTAGAAGATGGATATGAGTTAATTCAGAGAAATAAACACAATAAGCTAGACACAAAAAATAATGAGTATGTATAAGTGACTCCTACCTCACTTTTATTTGATAGGATAATCAGAGTATAAATTAGATATGTACATAATTTCATATGGGAGGGAAGTGCTAAACAGGGCCACAAGAACTGGCCTATCCCCTCTTCCATCTTCAGTGCTTAGACTCTCATGAGCCTTCAGCTCCTTATCACTGCTCTGCTCCCCGGGTTCAGCAGGCAGCATAAATGGGTAGAATAGGTAGATGGTTAATAAACGGAAGTCAAAGCACAAAGCCTAGTACAAAATAAGTTGATCTCCAAATCTAAACTGATGCCATATAAACCCATAAGTCATAATCACTTTTTTAAAAAATTTAAAATTAGTGAGAGGTAGTGTTGCACACCTGTAATCACAGTAACTCAGGAGGCTGAGGCAGGAGAATCTCAAGTTCAAGGTCAGTCTCGCCATTTATAAGACCCTCAAGTAATTTAGCAAGATTGTGCCTCAATAAAAATTTAAAAGGGTACACATGTAGCTTTTAGTGGTAGACCATTTGCCTAGCATGTGTAACACCCTGTGTTCAATGAATTAAAAAACCAAAAACACAACTTCATTGGATTAAATCCCATTCACACATTTCAGTATATACCAAGTGCTAAAACACAATGTTACTAATCAAAGAGTATATAATTGCTAGTATTTCTTTTCGAAAATACTTCTTATTTTTCAATACCAAGTCATTGTTTTATAAGATTAAAGTCAATAACATTTTAAGAAAACAATACATTCATCATTGAAACAAACAACCTAACACATTCACTTTTATTGTGCCATCCTTAGATTTCTGTTTCTTCCCTCATCTGTAAAAGATCTAATTGCCCACTATGTAACAAATAATGTGGTAAATGCTTACTTTCATACAGCCTTCAGAAATACCCAAGATATGTAATATTACAAGATGGGTATTCAAGATGGTAAACGCAATCAGTACTCACCCATACACCTAGCTCTTCTCGCCCTTCTCAACACAAAGAAAAGTACTTACTGGTGTCCCTTTATAGCTAGAAAAGAGGTTATCTTCCAAGAATCCTTTCTTCACCATTTAGAACAAGTTGTCCAGAAGAATCACAGTATCAACATCAGGCTTTGCCACTGTGCAAAGCTTCATCACAGCTTTGCCACAAATAAGAAACAAACTTTCATGTGGTAAGCCACAGAAATTTTAGGACTTTTTGTTTGCTTTTCATTATTTATGTATGACAGTAGAATGCATTACAATTCATGTTATACATGTACAGCACAATTTTTCATATCTCTGGTTATATACAAAGTATATTCACACCATTTGAATCTTCATACATGTTCTTCGGATAATGATGTCCATCTTATTCCACCATCATTTCTAACCCCTGTCCCCTCCCTTCCCTTCCCCGTCCCCTGACAAAAGGAACTATAACAATAACCTCTAGACAAACCTATCTATTCCTCCCATGCTCCCCCTCCCTACCCCACTATGAATCAACCTCCTTGTATCAGGAAACATTTGGCATTTAGTTTTTTGACATTGGCTAATTCCACTTAACATTATGCAAATGCCATTATTTTATTCTCTTATTGCTGAGTAATATTCTATTGTATATAAATGCCACTTTTTTAATCTATTCATCTACTGAAGGGCCTCTAGGTTGGTTCCACAGTTTAGGTATTATGAATTGTGCCGCTATAAACATTGATGTGGCTGTGTCACTGTAGCATGCAGTTTTTAAGTCCTTTGGGTATAGACTGAGGGAGAGGAATAGCTGGGTCAAATGGTGGTTCCATTCTCAATTTTCCAAGCAATGTCCATAATGCTTTTCATATTGGCTGCACAAATTTGCAGTCCCATCAGCAGCTTATGAGTGTACCTTTTCCCCCCACATCATCGCCAACACTCGTCTTCATAATAGCTGCCATTCTGACTAGAGATGAAATCTTAGAAATGCAAATCAAAACTACACTAATTGCTAGTAATAATGAACATTTTTTCATCTATTTGTTGATTATATATTATCTTCTGAGAATCCTTGGCCCATTTATTGACTGGCTTGTTTTATTAGTGTTTAGCTTTTTGAGTTCTTTATATACCCTGAAGATTAGTGCTGTATCTGATGTGTGAGGGGTTAAAATTTGCTCCTAAGATGTAAACTATTTACCTCACAGATTGTTTCTTTTGCTAAGGAGAAACTTTTTAGTTTGAATCCATCCCATTTATTCATTCTTGATTTTAATTCTTGCACTAAAGGAGTCTTAAGGAAGTTGGGGCCTACTTCCACATGGAGATTAGGGCCTACTTTTTCTTCTATTAGACGCAGGGTCGCCGATTTTATTCCTAGGTCCTTCCTTGATCCATTTTGAGTTTTGTGCAGGGCGGGAGGGGTTTAATTTCATTTCCAGTTTTCCCAGCACCATTTGTTCAAGAAGCTATCTTCTTTCCAATGCATGTTTTTGGTGCCTTTGCCTAATATAATTATAATTTTGTGGATTAGTATCTGTGTCCTCTATTCAGTATAATTGTTCTACCAGTCTGTTTTTATGCCACTACCATGCTGTTTTTATTACTATTGCTCCATAGAATAGTTTAAGATCTGGTATAGTGTTGCCACCTGCTTCACTCTTCCTGCTAAGGATTCCTTTAGCTATTCTGGGTCTTTTATTTTTCCAGATGAATTTCATGACTGCTTTTTCTATTTTTTTATGAGGAATGTCATTAGGATTTTAATTGGAATTGCATTCAATCTATATAGTGCTTTTGGTAGTATGGTCATTTTGATAATATTAGTTCTGCCTATCCAAGAGTAAGGTAGATCTTTCCATCTTCCAAGGTCTGCTTCTTGACAGGATTATCTAAATCATCACAATACAGCCTAGCCTATTACTACTATAGCCTATGAGAGTACTATCATCTAGGACTTGAATGTCTTCCAAAGGACCACTAAAGGTTTGGTCCCCAGCTCATGGCAGTGGAACGTTTTGGAGGTAGGACCCAGTGAAAGGAAGTCTGGGGAGTGTACGCTCGAAGGGGCTATTGGGACACTGGCCTCTCCTCTCACTTCCCGATGGGCCATGAGATGAGTAGCCTCTTCACCATGTGTTCCCACCATGACTTACTGCCCTAACAGGGACAAGCCACCATCGTGTAAAACCTCTGAAACTGAGCCAATATAAGTTTTTCCTCCTTGTAAGTTGTTTATCAGTTTTTTTGTTTTTTTTTTTTTTTTTTGCAGCAACAGAAAGCTAACTACCCCAAAGGGTGTCTGACGCAAAACAGAAGCCCAATTAATTATAAATAACAAATAATTCATAGAAAAAGGAATAATATTGAAAGGAAGCACGGCATGGCAGTTAAGAAAACGGACTGGTGAACTTCTGAAGTTTCTATTCTGATTTTACCACTTGCTAGCTAAGTAGCCCAGGGCTACTTAACTACAGTTTTCTTCAAAGAGTTACTTAGGTAAGCTAATACATGCAAAAGCATTCCACATAGTTGCCATAACATAAAAGGTGCTTGATAATTTTTAATGTCTAAAAAGGCAAATATAAGTAATCAGACTACTCTTAGGTTGTTTTTCTAATCTCTGAAAATATTACTAAATAAAACCAGAAAAAAATTCAATACACTGTTCAACTTGATATCTGAAAGAACTGAAATTGAATTAGCACTAATTAACCTTCCTCATTTCAGACAAAATTATTTCTTCCATTAAATCATAAAAAGGGCTTTTTTGTGTAAGAACAATTAGAAAAGTAAAAGGCTGTAACTAATGCTTACCGTGGTGACCCTATCTCCACCATCAGTGACCTGCTTGTAATAAGGTGATCCCGAAAGAACTCTCCATGCAGAAAGGCCACAGCCAGCTGCTGTTGTTGGGCCCATGTCTGCAGTCTCACATCCACCAACCAGAAGAAGTCTAAACATGAGACAAATAGAATTGATGAACTGCAAATATGAACAACATAACAGAAAAATACCAAGTACAAAAAAGCTTCTGCAAAGAAAATATATAATAATTTAGTTAAGTTTAGAAACTTTCAGACAAAACAATGAAAAGAAAACCAATTGGACTGTCCCTTTCACTTGAGAAGGAAAGCCTATACATTCAAGCACCTGAAATCTAGATGGTACCTGAGAAAGGAAGGGAAAAGATGTCTTAAGGCTGGCAACAGCACATTGGAGAAACTGCCTGTGTCCTAACAGTAAGCATTTGTAGAGTGATGACAGAGTGGCAGAGCAGTAACTGAGATTGGGAGTCTATAATGAGACCTCATGGCTGTGGCATGCCTGCTACCTGGGATTGTTCCCGGTACACAGGCCACAGGATGCCTAGCTGCTATAGTGACCAACTGCCAGAGGAGTCTCCCTGCAAGAGTTTTGTCAGCTTAGGCCTTGATCTCATGCACATAGCTCCCAGGGATAAAGAAATTCTCATGCAAGACAACCAGTGGTTCACCAGTTCTGATACTCTTGCCCACTTAATAGTAACTTTAAACAATGGACCTCCTTGAGTACTGCACAAAGAACATTGTACATTGCAACTATGGAAAAGCTGCATAGCTGCTTCTAGTTCTGTAAGTTTCATGAGTACAAAGAATAATGCTTGCATTGTCTTTAACCTGATAATGAGACATGTAAATAAAGATTGCTGGTGTAACTTTTTTTTTTTTGCACTGGGGATTGAACCCAGGACCTTGTGCATGCAAGGCAAGGCAAGCACTCTGCCAACTGAGCTATACCCCCAGCCCAGATATCGTAACTATTTAAGTATGCTTCTCCATCAGAGAGCAGCACTCCACCTGATCCCAGCTTTACCTTCATATCTGCATGTGTGAGTATTTTATAAACTTCCATCACACCTCGCCAGCAGCAAGCATTAACAGTTGTGTGGCTTCATATAGATACACGTATTAAATGACAGCAACATACGTGATGCACTGAGGGCACAACTTCAGCACATCCAAAAGAAATGACAGCTGTGAGTTCTTGAGGCAAAGAGCCATGTGGCAACGACTCTTTAGAAGTAAGACTGCACATTATGATTGGTGTAGTTTTCCGTGAACCAGTCAACAACTGGAGACAAGTTACCAACACGGCAAACAGCTTAACATATACTAAAAGTTAGAAGATGTTACTGGATTAACATTATATTAACTGAGCTGACTAACAATGGAATTTAAATAGCCAAGACTTTTTGCAGAACTCAAAATCCATGAAGTCATTTAAATGAACTTTAATCACAGAAACACAACTTGAGCCTTCACTTATAGCTTTCTTCCTATTTTATTATGTAGAGCTCTTACAACTTTACCCCAGCAAATGGAAAATAGCAAATTATGAGATGACAGCTTGAAACAACCTGTTTAGGTTGTTTCTAACCTAGGCAATTCCTTAGCACAAAAACAATTAACCTGTTCCCACGGACAAAAGATTTTGATCCAAAGTCAAGCTAATAGTACAAGTATTACTTGGCCATAGCACTCATTCTGTTCAAATAGATGACTGCTACAATAAAGTTATTTCCCCAATTTTATCTAGTACAGATGAAATTATACTATCCCTCTAACCTAAGTACCAATTTAGACAAAACAGATGAAGAAAAATGTCGTGAACAACACTAAAAAGACGTGACAATCTAGAAGTTAGAAACATACAAGAATCAATGATGTGGTTTCTTAAGAACTCATACAGCAAGAAAGCAGAAGAGAGGGAAAACAGAAAGCAGAGATCAGTCATCTCAGCAAGCACAGGCTGGTATCTGAAGATATAGGCAATTATTTTTCTCTGAATATAATAATGGTATCATTCGGTAGAGTTCTTATTTTGTAGAAATACTGAAGTGTTTACAAATAAAACATGTTGTCCAGGATTTACTTCAAAATAGTTCAGGTGAAGGGATATCTGGGATGAAGATGAAATGAGACAGGCCATGAGCGGCTGAAAATTCAATGGTAAGTCTAGAGCTTTACAAGAATCCTACTCTATTTGTATGTGCTTCAAATTTTCCATAAAGAAATTTTTCCCAGAAGTCCAGTTACTAGGATAAACTCTGAATAGGAAACAAGTAACTGTGAATATTTATAGTTCCAATTTAATCATAATATTTTTCAAAGGAAAAAATACACTTTATAAAACAGCTTTAAAAACCAGTAACTTATAAAAATTACACTAAGGGATGGGCATGGTGGCACACACCTATAATCTCAGCGGCTCAGGAGGCCAAGACAGGAGGATCGCAAATTCAAAGCCAGCCTCAGCAATGGCAAGGCACTAAGCAACGCAGTGAGACCCTGTCTATAAATAAAATAGGGCTGGGGATGCAGCTCAGTGGTTCAGTGCCCCGAGTTCAATCTCTGGTACCAAAAAAAACCCACCACTAAGAATACTCAACAAATCCCCCCAAAAGGCCATAATGAAACAAGTCTTTGATAACTGAAATAAGTACCCTCTCTGATCAATTGCAACATATATATTAAAAATATGTATACTATGTTGAGTATTTTAATGTATTCAATACATAATTTCTATTATATTAATTGTATTTATAACAACAAAATATGAAACTCTTATTGACTACTGAAGGAGTTAGAGGGGTAAGAATTCAAATCCCTTATCTCCTGGTCTTGGTCCTGGAAGATACTTCCTCTCCATGAATTTTGACAAATGACTGTGCACAGATTAAATTGGCTACTACAGATAAGCTCACTGAGAACAGAAGAGATTCAGTACCTGCTTCCCACTATTTTTATCTTAGTCAGCTTTTTCACTGCTATGACTACAGGATCTGACCAGAACAACTATAGGGGAGAAAAAGTTTTAAGGACTCATGGTTTCAGAGGTCTTAGTCCATAAAAAGGTGGCTCCATTTCTCAGGGTTCAAGATGAGACTGAACATCTTGGTAGAGTGTGTGGCAGAGGGCAGCAGCTCACATCATGGTGACCAAGAAGCAGAGAAACTCCACCCACATACAAATATACACAAAGAGACTATGCCCTAGTTCCCACCTCCTCCACCCACACTCTACTACTTCAGTTACCCCTCAGTTAATCCCCATCACGGGATAAATTTACCGACTGGGTTAAGATTCTCACAACCCAATCATTTTCCCTCTGAATTATCTTACATTGTCTCACGTGAGCTTTTGGGGGACAACTCACATCCAAAACCCTTTCCTCCATTCATACCAGACTGAAGAATAAGTGGAAAAGCAAGCAGAATGATGACCCTAATCATGTGTTGTTCTCCACTGAGAGGGCAGAGTTGGGACATCAGCACTTCAGCATTCCACATGCATTAGAAGAATGCACATGTGCACATATGCAAGCAGGCTTGACTGTTCACATGTTTCAAGGGAAGGACACTGAAATGACTCCACACACGCACAGAACAAGTAACTATTAACTATTGTGTGCAATGCAGCGAACAGAGAGAGAGGAGCAATATATGCGCCCTGCATTCCAAAGCTAAGAGGGCAAAGAGCAAAGAGCCAGGGGAAGCATGGAATTAAGTGGCATAGATGACAACTGGTAGGTGATAAGAAAATCCTTCAGTAGACTGAAACGGGCTTAAGTTATACATGCCATGGAAGATCAACCTCAATTCAAGGCATCAATTTAATCCATTTGTTTTCAAGATTCATAATGTTGGCTAAAGCTAACTTACAAATGATTAATAAAAGCAGGCTAGCCGTGATGCTTGGCCAAGCAAATAAACGTTCTCCAACATGTTCGCAGTGTTTATAAGAGGCTTCCAGGGCAACAACGCAGTGGCCAGTGAAGAATTAAGTTCCATCGGTAAAACTATGCAATTTACATCAAGTCAGACAATGGAAATAAGACAGGCGTCTCAGGCCCAACACAATATACTCAATAGATGTTTCACAATTGACTGAAAAGTTCAGTCTCCAACTTTCTCCTTAAGCAGCACTGAGTGAAGGTACTATAGAGACTGTCATGGTTTGGTTTGGATATGAAGTGTTCCTCCCCACCCCCCAAAAAAGTGCCTGTTTCAATGCAGGAATGTGATTGGATTAGAACTATGACCTAATCGGTCCATCCCATTATGAATAGGCTGGGTGTTAACTGTAGACAGGGGGACCTGGCTAGAGGTGAGTCACTGAGACTGCCCTGGAAGACTGCATCTTCCCTGTGGCCCTTTACCCCCATCTATTTCCTGATCCTGCCATGAGCAGAGCAGCTTTCCTTTGCTAGGCCCCTCCCCCATGATGTGCTGCCTCATCTGGGGCCAAGAACAATGGAGTTGGCCATCTGAACTGTGGCCTCTGAAACTACGAGCCCCAAATAAACTTGCCTTCTTCTAAGTTGTTCTTGTCAGGTATTTTGGTCACAGCATTGAAAGGCTGGTTAAAAGAGACCCCCATCTTTTCTCTTGCCAGGTTTCAGCAAATGAGATGGAAAGGAAAGGAGCACAGCAACGGGGGTAGAAGGAGGCGAGAGTCATCATTAAAGAGGGCATCAGAAAATGTTTAGCCAAGAATGCCATAAGAAGAGCATCAAGAAAGTGCTTGTGAGAGATGTATGAGGACATGAGTGAAGACACAAGAGAACGCCTTCTCCTTTGGACTGTCGATACCTTCAGGCTGACAGTTCCTCTTAATGGAAATCTCAAGCAGTTTCAAATAAAATCCTATCCGAATATTTTACAGAACTGAACAAACCAATTTAATGAAATTAGGCAAACATAAGATTCGCCTGAGAGAATGTCAACTCAGTCCCCACTGATCAGTCTTTCCCTTGCTGAGCTAGCCTTTGTGCACTCTGACCTAGAAATATTTTCCTGCCCTTGCATCATTAAGACATTCTCCTTGAAATTGACTGCATTAAAAATTAACCATATTAACCTGGCAAGAGAAAAGATGGGGATCTCTTTTAATCAGCCTTTCAATGCTGTGACCT